AAACCATTGTGCCAATCCTGGGTTTACTTGTGTCAACAAGCCCAAGAGATAACCATATGCAATCCTAGTTTTAGTAGGATGCTGGTCTTATAGTAATGATTGAACATTTGTAAGAACTGTTACTATAACTACAACAGATGATGGTGCGCAGGCTTATAACTCAGGGCAAAACCCTGGATAACTTTATTACTCTATAACTCAGGACAAACACCTATAGCTGAATAACTTTAGTACTCTATAACTCATGGCAAAAACCTATAGCTGAATAACTTTAGTACTCTATAACTCAGGACAAAAACCTATAGCTGGATAACTTTATTACTCTATAACTCAGGACAAAAACCTATAGCTGGATAACTTTATTACTCTATAACTCAGGACAAAAACCTATAGCTGGATAACTTTAGTACTCTATAACTCAGGGCAAAAACCTATATCTGGATAACTTTAGTACTCTATAACTCAGGACAAAAACCTGGATAACTTTAGTACTGTATAACTCAGGACAAAAACCTATAGCTGGATAACTTGAGTACTCTATAACTCAGGACAAAAACCTATAGCTGGAAAACTTTAGTACTCTATAACTCAGGGCAAAAACCTGGATAACTTTAGTACTCTATAACTCAGGACAAAAACCTGGATAACTTTAGTACTCTATAACTCAGGGCAAAAACCTGGATAACTTTAGTACTCTATAACTCAGGGCAAAAACCTGGATAACTTTAGTACTCTATAACTCAGGGCAAACACCTATAGCTGGATAACTTTAGTACTCTATAACTCAGGACAAAAACCTATAGCTGGATAACTTTAGTACTCTATAACTCAGGGCAAAAACCTGGATAACTTTAGTACTCTATAACTCAGGACAAAAACCTGGATAACTTTAGTACTCTATAACTCAGGGCAAAAACCTGGATAACTTTAGTACTCTATAACTCAGGGCAAAAACCTATAGCTGGATAACTTTAGTACTCTATAACTCAGGACAAAAACCTATAGCTGGATAACTTTAGTACTCTATAACTCAGGGCAAAAACCTGGATAACTTTAGTACTCTATAACTCAGGACAAAAACCTGGATAACTTTAGTACTCTATAACTCAGGACAAAAACCTGGATAACTTTAGTACTCTATAACTCAGGGCAAAAACCTGGATAACTTTAGTACTCTATAACTCAGGGCAAAAACCTATAGCTGGATAACTTCAGTACTCTATAACTCAGGGCAAAAACCTATAGCTGGATAACTTTAGTACTCTATAACTCAGGGCAAAAACCTGGATAACTTTAGTACTCTATAACTCAGGGCAAACACCTATAGCTGGATAACTTTAGTACTCTATAACTCAGGGCAAAAACCTATAGCTGGATAACTTTAGTACTCTATAACTCAGGACAAAAACCTGGATAACTTTAGTACTGTATAACTCAGGGCAAAAACCTATAGCTGGATAACTTTAGTACTCTATAACTCAGGCCAAACCCTATATCTGGATAACTTTAGTACTCTATAACTCAGGACAAAAACCTGGATAACTTTAGTACTGTATAACTCAGGGAAAAAACCTATAGCTGGATAACTTTAGTACTCTATAACTCAGGGCAAAAACCTATAGCTGGATAACTTTAGTACTCTATAACTCAGGACAAAACCCTGGATAACTTTAGTACTGTATAACTCAGGACAAAAACCTATAGCTGGATAACTTTAGTACTCTATAACTCAGGGCAAAAACCTGGATAACTTTAGTACTCTATAACTCAGGGCAAAAACCTATAGCTGGATAACTTTAGTACTCTATAACTCAGGGCAAAAACCTATAGCTGGATAACTTTAGTACTCTATAACTCAGGCCAAACCCTATATCTGGATAACTTTAGTACTCTATAACTCAGGACAAAAACCTGGATAACTTTAGTACTCTATAACTCAGGCCAAACCCTATATCTGGATAACTTTAGTACTGTATAACTCAGGGCAAAAACCTATAGCTGGATAACTTTAGTACTCTATAACTCAGGGCAAAAACCTGGATAACTTTAGTACTCTATAACTCAGGACAAAAACCTATAGCTGGATAACTTTAGTACTCTATAACTCAGGGCAAAAACCTGGATAACTTTAGTACTCTATAACTCAGGACAAAAACCTGGATAACTTTAGTACTGTATAACTCAGGACAAAAACCTATAGCTGGATAACTTTAGTACTCTATAACTCAGGACAAAAACCTGGATAACTTTAGTACTCTATAACTCAGGACAAAAACCTGGATAACTTTAGTACTGTATAACTCAGGGCAAAAACCTATAGCTGGATAACTTTAGTACTCTATAACTCAGGGCAAAAACCTATAGCTGGATAACTTTAGTACTCTATAACTCAGGACAAAAACCTGGATAACTTTAGTACTCTATAACTCAGGACAAAAACCTGGATAACTTTAGTACTGTATAACTCAGGGAAAAAACCTATAGCTGGATAACTTTAGTACTCTATAACTCAGGGCAAAAACCTATAGCTGGATAACTTTAGTACTCTATAACTCAGGACAAAAACCTGGATAACTTTAGTACTGTATAACTCAGGGCAAAAACCTATAGCTGGATAACTTTAGTACTCTATAACTCAGGCCAAACCCTATATCTGGATAACTTTAGTACTCTATAACTCAGGACAAAAACCTGGATAACTTTAGTACTGTATAACTCAGGGAAAAAACCTATAGCTGGATAACTTTAGTACTCTATAACTCAGGGCAAAAACCTGGATAACTTTAGTACTCTATAACTCAGGACAAAAACCTATAGCTGGATAACTTTAGTACTCTATAACTCAGGACAAAAACCTATAGCTGGATAACTTTAGTACTCTATAACTCAGGGCAAAAACCTGGATAACTTTAGTACTGTATAACTCAGGACAAAAACCTATAGCTGGATACCTTTAGTACTCTATAACTCAGGACAAAAACCTGGATAACTTTAGTACTCTATAACTCAGGGCAAAACCCTGGATAACTTTAGTACTCTATAACTCAGGGCAAAACCCTATATCTGGATAACTTTAGTACTCTATAACTCAGGACAAAAACCTGGATAACTTTAGTACTGTATAACTCAGGGAAAAAACCTATAGCTGGATAACTTTAGTACTCTATAACTCAGGACAAAAACCTATAGCTGGATAACTTTAGTACTCTATAACTCAGGGCAAAAACCTATAGCTGGATAACTTTAGTACTCTATAACTCAGGACAAAAACCTGGATAAATTTAGTACTCTATAACTCATGGCAAAAACCTATAGCTGGATAACTTTAGTACTCTATAACTCAGGGCAAAAACCTGGATAACTTTAGTACTCTATAACTCAGGACAAAAACCTGGATAACTTTAGTACTCTATAACTCAGGACAAAAACCTGGATAACTTTAGTACTCTATAACTCAGGGCAAAACCCTATATCTGGATAACTTTAGTACTCTATAACTCAGGACAAAAACCTGGATAACTTTAGTACTGTATAACTCAGGGCAAAAACCTATAGCTGGATAACTTGAGTACTCTATAACTCAGGGCAAAAACCTATATCTGGATAACTTTAGTACTCTATAACTCATGGCAAAAACCTATAGCTGGATAACTTTAGTACTCTATAACTCAGGGCAAAACCCTACATTGTATAGCTGGATAACTTGAGTACTCTATAACTCAGGGCAAAACCCTGGATAACTTTAGTACTCTATAACTCAGGGCAAAAACCTATATCTGGATAACTTTAGTACTCTATAACTCAGGGCAAAAACCTGGATAACTTTAGTACTCTATAACTCAGGGCAAAAACCTATAGCTGGATAACTTTGGTACTCTATATTTACCACTGAAAATATCCAAGCACTTAACAAAAAGGAAAATAAGTTGCTGTGAGGATTTTAATTTTAACAAATGGAATTTCTGATGTATTTCACAAACACCCAATACAATGACTTCTGAACTATGACCTCTGACCCCAATTTCATATATTGAAGCTGTGTTACTGACTGTGAGTAACATCCTACAGGTTACTCTATGTGGAAATAAGTGGCCTTGACCTACTGGTATTTTTATATAGCTTTGTAGAATGATCATGAACCATGAAGGACTACAAGAATTTTTAATAAATTCCCTTTAAAATCAATTTTCTTAGTTATTTTTAGAAAAAGCAAATGAAAATAAAATATATATAACTGAAAAAAAAGGGAGAGATTCTCAATGGAGATTTTTTGTTATTGACAAAAAATGGCGTTTAAGATGCAGGGGCTTATTCAAAAATGCTTTCACATCATTTGATCAATTTCATAGTTTCTTAAGATTTTCTTTGCAATGTCTAAAAATAAACTCTTAATGATATTTCTTACCTTGAGGAATATGCATGATCCCGACTGTAAGACCAGACACAATGTCTCCGGACAGATCCTTTTTAACATCATACTCCTTCAGAACATCAATGAATGGAAAAATACTGTAGATAAACCTCACACAACAATTCCTCGAACAGAGACATTTGGATTTAGCTTTACTTAAACTCTGTCTAAGAGTGCTCTGTGGACGAGTACCAGGTTCGAATCCTTCATCAAACTTCTGTTGCGAGAAAACTGGTCGTTCTATAACAAATTTGGCACTCCCATTGGACTGAACGTCCAACAGTGACTCGCTGAGATCCCGATCCTCAGCATTCATCTTCTTCCCTAAAATGTCAGAAAATGTCATTATCATTTTGCAAATATAACACACAAGTTTTCCTTGGTGTTAACGTGTAAGAAAGTACACCTTACTAAATTAAGAACTCTAGTAACAAAAGTATCAGTAAAACTAATAAACACTCCCTTACCAACTCTCTTGGACACAAAATTTTAACAAAGGGTAATGATTATGAAATTTAGTGTTAGCAGGTCCTGAATTTTGTGTTATGCATATTTTCTGTATACACCAAGTTTCATTATCCTGGCCTAAATGCAAGCAATGTTATGCTCTGGGAAAGATAGTTTAAACAAAGGGCAATAACTCTGTAAATGAGGGGGGTCTAGGGCCCTGCATGTGGTTCACTGCACATCATGTTAAGTATGACCAATGTATACAACAAGTTTCATGATCCTTGCTTATTTATGGACAAAGTTATGCTCTGGACACAAAAGGCCGCATAGAAAAATGGATGGACGGTCGCACTGATGGACAATGTTAGAACTATGACAATCCAGAAAATTTTTAGTGAGCTTAAAATTTGTATCTATCCACCGTCAAAATAAAAATATGATATTGACCACTATGTGATGTTAAACAACATGATATTAACAAACAGGTTTTATCTAGCATCACAGCATTAATTGATTTGTGATATCACAGAACATTTAACCCCATATGTGACATTAAGCAACATGATATTAAGAGGAACTCTGAGAAATGCCAAATAGATAATTACTTGTCAATTTCATTTTTTAAATAAACATGCTACTTTGATTAAATCATACAATTAGTACACAGATAAACCAATACAAACGACGATGATGATAACACCTGACTCTGTATAAATGGTAAAAGGCGAAACACCTCCATTAAAAGAGAAACTTATTTGTTGTAAAAATAAGTGGCAAAAACAGTGAAGATTTCATACCATAACTTGTCCATAATGACTGCCTCTGTGAATTAATTTGATAAATGATATTTGTGTGTACATTATTTTGGCAAAGTTGATACCAAGAAGCCCTAAATACAGCAGATCCATCAAAGTCTAGATATACAAGTCAGTCAAGTGCTACTTCCAGGCTTGAGAATGAAATTCAGATCATTCAGTTTCTATTCAATTGTTTGTTTAAGCTACAAAGGTAAACATGGCACAATACATTGATATTCTAGTCATAATCAAGCTTTTTAATTGATTCAAAGGGTATTTATTTGTTTAAACAACATATACAAAGAGGACATTATTATATAAGAATATACATCCTTTAAAATCAATCAATATATTTTTTTAAAACAGAACCACTGGGTAGAAACTTTGACACACTATCATTGTCACACAGGACAACAAGGTAGGATATGAGACACGATGTCACACAGGACAACAAGGTAGGATCTGAGACACAATGTCACACAGGACAATAAGGTAGGATCTGTGACACAATGTCACACAGGACAACAAGGTAGGATCTGTGACACAATGTCACACAGGACAACAAGGTAGGATCTGTGACACAATGTCACACAGGATCTATCTATCTATGGTGTTTCATGTTGATACCTCTCATATTTTTTGTGTTCCAACCAAAATTATGATGGATGGACGGATGGACTACTATATGCTCTTCCTTTGGAGAACATCAAAAGCTCAAGTTAAAATGGAACTATTCAGAAAGAAACCAAAAAGCATTGTGTCTCTCACGATGAGATATTATTACTGTGATGAATACTCCCAGCACAGTGATCATAGACTAATTTGACACTATGCCAGGCACATCAAACGAACAAATTACATTAAATCATTCTGTAGCATCAATTTCTGTTTGTAAAAACATGTTGGTAACAATGCTGCAGTTTGTCAGATTAGGTCTGATAATAGTCTACATGGGAGGGAATTCTCAAACAGGTGGCCATATACAACTCACAAGAAAACACGGCACCTTTGATTTTTAATGAAATATTTGCTTCCAAAAAGAAGCAGACAAAGAGATTTCTCCCCCCCCCCCCCCACCCCTTCTTCCAAAATAAATTATTTATATAAACTTGAAATTGAAATTCCTGCTCTAATTAAATTTTATTATTTTATTTCAATAAAATTTAAGGAAAAGATCATACCTGGTGAAGTGATATCACCTGCCGAGATTGAAATTGAAAGAAAATTGCGAATTATTGTAAAAAACCTCAAAGACAAAGCCTGATTATAAAAACTATACACTAAACAGTACTTCAAATACTACGTCATATTCTGATTGAAAAACTTAAGCCGTGAATCAATTCAATTTCAGGATAAATAACATAATACTTACAGTACATTTACATGAATTTAGAACGAAGATAAAATCAATTTCTAAATGAGAAAAACACATAAGTGTTTTTTATCTTTTGTACAAGAAAAAGAAAAACAAGAATTGTATTAGATATTAACAAAAAAAAGGGAATTCAATAACATATTAAATAAAATGTCAATAAATTCCGTATAATATCTATTCTTTTTAACATGGCTACCAAATTAAATACATCCACAAGATATTCCTTGTCTGGCATAGTATTTGTTCTCACTGAATTATTCTTTGAAAGAAAATTTACTTTGATCAGGATAATTTCATTTGAAAAGTGTTGTCATGTAGAATCTGAGGTAAGAGTTCGTATCATCCTAGTTATCAACTTTTAACTCCTTTTGGTACAAAACCAAGGTAAAAGCACACAAGTCCTGTGTTTACCTGAATCAAGGTTTACATACCCACTCTGATAGTCCTAGTATAACAGGTTTACATACCCACTCTGATAGTCCTAGTATAACAGGTTTACATACCCACTCTGATAGTCCTAGTATAACAGGTTTACATACCCACTCTGATAGTCCTAGTATAACAGGTTTACATACCCACTCTGATAGTCCTAGTATAACAGGTTTACATACCCACTCTGATAGTCCTAGTATAACAGGTTTACATACCCACTCTGATAGTCCTAGTATAACAGGTTTACATACCCACTCTGATAGTCCTAGTATAACAGGTTTACATACCCACTCTGATAGTCCTAGTATAACACGGGTTTACATACCCACTCTGATAGTCCTAGTATAACAGGTTTACATACCCACTCTGATAGTCCTAGTATAACAGGTTTACATACCCACTCTGATAGTCCTAGTATAACACAGGTTTACATACCCACTCTGATAGTCCTAGTATAACAGGTTTACATACCCACTCTGATAGTCCTAGTATAACAGGTTTACATACCCACTCTGATAGTCCTAGTATAACAGGTTTACATACCCACTCTGATAGTCCTAGTATAACAGGTTTACATACCCACTCTGATAGTCCTAGTATAACACAGGTTTACATACCCACTCTGATAGTCCTAGTATAACACAGGTTTACATACCCACTCTGATAGTCCTAGTATAACACAGGTTCACATACCCACTCTGATAGTCCTAGTATAACACAGGTTCACATACCCACTCTGATAGTCCTAGTATAACACAGGTTTACATACCCACTCTGGTAGTGCTAGTATAACAGGTTTACATACCCACTCTGATAGTCCTAGTATAACAGGTTTACATACCCACTCTGATAGTCCTAGTATAACAGGTTTACATACCCACTCTGATAGTCCTAGTATAACACAGGTTTACATACCCACTCTGATAGTCCTAGTATAACACAGGTTTACATACCCACTCTGATAGTCCTAGTATAACACAGGTTTACATACCCACTCTGATAGTCCTAGTATAACACAGGTTTACATACCCACTCTGATAGTCCTAGTATAACAGGTTTACATACCCACTCTGATAGTCCTAGTATAACACAGGTTTACATACCCACTCTGATAGTCCTAGTATAACACAGGTTTACATACCCACTCTGATAGTCCTAGTATAACACAGGTTTACATACCCACTCTGATAGTCCTAGTATAACACAGGTTTACATACCCACTCTGATAGTCCTAGTATAACACAGGTTTACATACCCACTCTGATAGTCCTAGTATAACACAGGTTTACATACCCACTCTGATAGTCCTAGTAGTATAACAGGTTTACATACCCACTCTGATAGTCCTAGTATAACTCTGATAGTCCTAGTATAACACAGGTTTACATACCCACTCTGATAGTCCTAGTATAACACAGGTTTACATACCCACTCTGATAGTCCTAGTATAACACAGGTTTACATACCCACTCTGATAGTCCTAGTATAACACAGGTTTACATACCCACTCTGATAGTCCTAGTATAACAGGTTTACATACCCAGGTTTACTCTCTGATAGTCCTAGTATAACACAGGTTTACATACCCACTCTGATAGTCCTAGTATAACACAGGTTTACATACCCACTCTGATAGTCCTAGTATAACACAGGTTTACATACCCACTCTGATAGTCCTAGTATAACACAGGTTTACATACCCACTCTGATAGTCCTAGTATAACAGGTTTACATACCCACTCTGATAGTCCTAGTATAACAGGTTTACATACCCACTCTGATAGTCCTAGTATAACACATACCCACTCTGATAGTCCTAGTATAACACAGGTTTACATACCCACTCTGATAGTCCTAGTATAACAGGTTTACATACCCACTCTGATAGTCCTAGTATAACAGGTTTACATACCCACTCTGATAGTCCTAGTATAACAGGTTTACATACCCACTCTGATAGTCCTAGTATAACAGGTTTACATACCCACTCTGATAGTCCTAGTATAACAGGTTTACATACCCACTCTGATAGTCCTAGTATAACAGGTTTACATACCCACTCTGATAGTCCTAGTATAACAGGTTTACATACCCACTCTGATAGTCCTAGTATAACAGGTTTACATACCCACTCTGATAGTCCTAGTATAACACAGGTTTACATACCCACTCTGATAGTCCTAGTATAACAGGTTTACATACCCACTCTGATAGTCCTAGTATAACACAGGTTTACATACCCACTCTGATAGTCCTAGTATAACACAGGT